AATTCATCTGCTCTAGTAAATAAAAGATACTAATACTTTATGAAATCAGAATCTTTCTACTCAAAGCATTATTAACCTGACCTGACCAAGGAGGTGAAAGACTTATACACTAAGAACTATAAAACGTTAATAATGGAAATTGAAGATGATTCAAAGAAATAGAAAGATATCCCATGCCCTTGGATTGGAAGAATTAATATTGTTAAAATGGCCATACTACCCAAAACAATTTACAGGTTTAATGTGATCCTTATCAAATTATCCATGACATTTTTCACAGAGCTAGAATAATCCTAAAATTCCTATGGAACCATAAAAGGCCAGAATTGCCAAAGCAATCCTGAAGAAAAAGAACAAAGCAGGAGGCCTAACTCTCCGAGACTTCCAACAATACTACAAAGCTACAGTAATCAAAACAGCATGGTATTGGCACAAAAACAGACATATGGATCAATGGAACAGAACAGAGAGACCAGAAATAAACCCACACACCTACAGTCAATTAATCTTTGACAAAGGAGGCAAGAATATACAATGGGAAAAAGACAGTCTCTTCAGCAAGTGGTGCTGGGAATGTTGGACTGCCGCATGCAAATCTATAAAATTAGAACACACCCTCTCACCATACACAAAAGTAGACTCAAAATGGCTTAAAGACTTAAACATAAGACATGACACCATAAAACTCCTAGAAGAGAACATAGGCAAAACATTCTCTGACATGCATAAATCATACCAATGTCTTCTTAGGCCAGTCTCCTAAGGCAATAGAAATAAAAATAAAAATAAACAAATGGGACTTAAACTTACAAGCTTTTGCACAGCAAAGGAAACCATAAAAAAAAAAAAAGACAACCTACAGAATGGGAAAATATTTGCAAAATGATGTGACCGACAACGGCTTAATTTCCAAAAAATACAAAGAGCTCATATAAGTCAACAACAAAAAAACAAACAACCCAATCCAAAAATGGGCAGAAGACCTAAATAGACATTTCTCCAAAGAAGAAATACAGATGGCCAATAGGCACATGAAAAGATGCTCAACATTGCTAATTATTAGAGAAATGCAAATCAAAACTACAATGAGTTACCATCTCACACCAGTCAGAATGGCCATAATTAAAAAGCTTACAAATAACAAATGCTGGAGAGGACGTGCAGGAAATGGAACCCTCCTACACTGCTGGTGGCAATGTAAGTTGTTGCAACCACTGTGGAAAACAGTATGGAGGATCCTCAGAAAACTAAAAATAGAATTACCATATGATCTAGCAATCCCATTCCCAGGTATATATCCAGACAAATCTATAATTCAAAAAGATACATGCACCCCTATGTTCATAGGAGCAATATTTACAATAGTCAAGACATGGAAGCAACCTAAATGTCCATTGACAGATGAATGGATAAAGATGTGGTACATATATACAATGGAATACTACTGAGCCATAAAAACGAACAAAATAATGCCATTTGCAGCAACATGGATGCAACTAGAGATTATCCTACTAAGTGAAGTATATCAGAAAGAGAAAGACAAATACCGTATGATATCACTTATGTGTGGAATCTATTGGGTTGGCCAAAAACTTCGTTCAGTTTTTCTGTAAGATCTTATGGGAAAAAACCGAACGAACTTTTTGGCCAACCCAATAAAATATGACACAAATGAACCTATCTATGAAACAGAAACAGAATCTCGGACAGAGAACAGACTGGTGGTTGCCAAGGGACAGGGAATTGGGGGAGGTTTGGAGAGGGAGGTTGGGGTTAGCAGATATAAGCTTTTATATAGAGAACAGATAGACAGTAAGGTCCTACTGTATAGCACAGAGAGCTATATTCAATATCATATGATAAAACATAATGGAAAAGAATATTAAAAAAAGAACGTATATATAACTGAATCACATTGCTGTACAGCAGATATTAACACAACATTGTAAATCAACTATACTTCAATTTAAAAAATTTTTTTAAATCACCTACAGGAAAAAAATTTAAAAACTGTTAAAACTATATTACAAGTTCTTCCCCTTAATGAGAAATCTTAACGTCAAATCTTTTCTAGCATATAAGAAGTAAAACAACATTCATCATTACTATAAACCAGAATCTGTATGGTTTATTTTTTTGTTTTTTTTTAAAGTCTGGTTGGGGGTCATGAATTAGATTTTATTTCAGTCCCTTTGAGGGACAAGAGAAATGAAAGACTTTTTTTAAAAAATAAATTTATTTATTTTATTTATTTATTTTTGGGTGTGTTGGGTCTTCGTTGCTGCGCGGGGTTTCTCTAGCTGTGGTGAGCGGGGGCTACTCTTCATTGCGGTGCGTGGGTTTCTCATTGCCGTGGCTTCTCTTGTTGAAGAGCACTGACTCTAGGCATGCGGGCTTCAGTAGTTGCAGCATGCAGACTCAGTAGTTGTGGCTCACGGCCTCTAGAGCAAGGCTTAGTAAGTTGTAGCGCATGGGGCTTAGCTGCTCCACGGCATGTGGGATCTTCCCAAGCCAGGGATCAAACCCGTGTTCCCTGCATTGGCAGGCGGATTCTCAATCACTGCCCCACCAGGAAAGCCCTGTGTGGGTTTGTTAGTTAGCTACCTATCTATCTATCTGTCTATCTATCTATCTGTCTATCTATCTATCTATCTATTTATTTATGGCTGTGTTGGGTCTTCGTTGCTGCACGCAGGCTTTCTCTAGTGCGGCAAGCGGGGTCTACTCTTCCTTGTGGTGCACAGGCTTCTCACTGCCGTGGCTTCTCTTGTTGCACAGCATGGGCTCTAGGGTGTGCGGGTTGCAGTAGTTGTGGCGCATGGGCTTAGTTGCTCTGCAGCATGTGGGATCTTCCCGGACCAGGGCTCGAAGTCGTGTCCCCTGCATTGGCAGGCAGGTTCTTAACCACTGCGCCACCAGGGAAGCCCCCCAGTGTGGTTTTTAAATGGAGATAAAATACTTCTTAGGACACTTCTAAAAATTAAATGAGATAATGTAATAACTAAATGCAGGGTAGCTAGTGTGAATTAAGTGCTCAATAAATGGCCTTTACTGTGTTAATTCTTATAGAAAGGTTGTGAAACAACCCTGAAATATGGTCAAGTAACTTAAAAACCTATTACAGATGTCTGTAAAAGCATATGGATAAAATCACAGTCAAATATCTAGACTGGCAAATTCAGGGAGGAAAGGAATCTTAACTTATTTATCCTTGTAGTTCCAGAATCTAACATAGTACCTGGTACACAGAGTAGGCATTCAATAAAGGTTTATTGAAATGAAGTGAGTATGAAAGTAAGTTATCTGGAAAAGAAAAAAAAAAAAAGAGGTAATCTGAGGTTGTCTGAAAAATAAACGTAAAGACTCACCAAATTACTATTCCCTAAGCAAATCATACTTTGAGAAAGAAAACAAAATACCTAAGCATTTTTAGAACCATGCACAGAAAATCCTCTCAGACTGGTCTTTTTAATAATGACTGAGTCACTCTCAAATCTGTTTTGGCAAATGTGTCATATATAAAGTTCAATATTAGAAGGATTTTTAAATTTCATCTAAATAAATGTTCATACTTAAAGAGGTAAGAAGTACCCAAAACACTGAGGAATCTTTCCTAACTTCCATTCAAGAAGAATCAGACTTAATTCATAGTTCTTCCATCTATTTATACATGAAAATTAGCTTGAGCTTTTACCTACAAGTAAGTTGTAAATACACATATTTCACTTTCACAAGTTCAAGTGCACCCCAGAAAAGGAAAAGGAAAGAAAGAAAACCAACTCTCTCAAAAGTGGGCAGTGCTATAGGAGTATAAAAGAGTAGCAAACAAAACTTCTCTCCCATGTCTCAGCAACCACCTGATAGAGCCCACACTTATGGCACGGTCTGCATGGTTTCAGAACACTTTCATATTGAAAACTCAAAATTCCCAGTGCAATGGGCACGGGAAAAAGCATAATGTGAAAATACAGTCCTATCTTTTCCACCCTACGTCCAAGAATAATAGGGGTCAATTTACTGTTTCTAAAAAGGACCTTTTCAAATTATTGACCATCACCTCACTACAGCACCCACTCTTCTTATTTGCAAACTGATCAATTTTACGAAAAGCAAAAACCACACCCTTAATAATACATTCAACTCTGTGCAGCGCTTGGCTTCTGGCACAAGCCGGTAAAGTACAATTCCAGAGAGACAGCTGGAGATACATCTTTTAAGCCTAGTTCAAACTAAAATTTGTGAACAGTGTGCAGTTACAAATCAAATAATAACCTCAAATCAACTGCTAGAAGGAGGTTTTGAAAACAAAAAAATCATTATTAAACATTTACCTTTCTGAACAAAATGACGTTTTCTGAAAACAATAACCAAAGCTACCAGTCTAAACTAGAGTAATTTAGAGAACAATAACAAAGAACCTGTAGTTAACAGAGGAAAATCATTCTTAAATTACCATTTGCTTCCTACAGTACCTGGAAAAGTACAAAATGCATGAAGTCAACTAAGAACTATTGTCCAGTCACTGACAGCATTAGTTACTTTTTAGTCTAATTTCTGGAAAGTTCTGCTGTGGTAGTTTAAAAAGGAAACCAAATTTTAACGAGAAAAAATGCCTAGTTGAAAATCTGGAAATACACATTGAAGATATTCACGGTTAATTTTTTTTTTTTTTTTAACTAAGAAGCAGCAAGGTGACAGGCACAAAGGTGTGTAACATCTGTAGATGGTTGAGCCAAATCAATTTAAAAAAAAGTCTCTGGAATTAAGGATTTAAGATAATATCTTGACAAATATAATCTGACATGATCAAAAATCACTTTAGTTTTTTTTAACCACTAACAAAGCAAAAACTTCCAATACAAAGATTTTCACATCATACACACACACACTTTAAATTAAGAATTAAATGTAAATTCAACACACTAAAAAATTATCTAAAGGTATCCAAAACACATTTGAAACATCAGGCTTTTGTTTTCACATTGATTTCTCAGACCTACTAGTAAATCTTCCCTGGAATGGGTCTTCATTTCAATACAAGGTTGTTCAATATGCCACTTCGTGTGAATATAGCTTGTGAGACATCCTCAAAACCTCCTCGGGAGTTCTTAATTTACAGCTCTAATTCCAGTTTCCTGCGACTCAAACAGCAACGTACAGAAAACAGCTTATACACAGGAAGGGAGAGGAATGAAGGTCCAGGGGAACGGTCCATTCTTTTGTGATGGCAGAAGATGAAAAAATAAAGGTTCTCTAGAGCTATGTGCCCCTATCCCCACCCATCATAGCCCTTCACTTTCATCCATCCACCCGCTCAAGACTCTCGAGCTCACGAGAACAGCCGAACCCGTGGCTTTCCACGTCTCAAAGAATGGGCGGGGGAAGCTGTGAGGTCCGGGGTACAAACAGAAAAAAAGGGAGGACATAGATCCTTTGAGGACAGATGGACAAGAAGATGCATCCAGATGGTGAGGATGGGACGTGCTACCGAAACACAGAGGCTTGCAAATTCGCTGGGAGAAGAGCTCCCAATGGGTCAGACAGAGGATGTTGACTGTTCAGGGACGGGGACACACAATCCTCCACAAATGAAGGGAGGCACATTTGCAGGAGTCGCGGAAGGGCGTGAACTCGGTAGCGCTGAACTCGGAGCCGAAAATAGGTTGAGACAGCCTCAAAAAGACCGGTACGTCGAAGCTGAGACTTACGGTTACTTCCCGGACTGAGGGTAAGGGTCGGACGGACTCCGCCGCAGCTCTGCAGTTCTGCCGCCCCTGCCTCTCGCGCCGAGCCGGTGACCTCAGGTAGTCCCTGAGCCCCACCCACCCGGGCGGACGCCCCTCCTCGCCCTGCGCCCCCTCCTCACCGGCCCCGGTGCGCCCGCCGGGCAAAGGCTGCCGGGGCCGAGGGTGCGCCCTGGAGGCCCGCGGGGAACTCTGCGAGAGCTGGAAGCGCCTGCGGCGACGCTCAGACTGGGCGGGCGCCCCCCATGCCTCTCCGGCCGCCGCGCCGCCTCACTCAGCGGAGGAGAAGAGGGGGCGGTGGCTCTTGCCTCCGCCTCGCGGTCAAATCCGGCTCATGCTCCAGCCTGGCCCGCGCTTGCAGCCCGGGCCGCCCCCCTCCCCTCCCCCGCCTCCGGTTCAGCCGCTGGCGCGCCCACTGCCGCCACCACCCCAGTCCCCGAGCCGCCCGCCACCTGCCCCAGACAGCCCTCAGCCCCAGCTAGAAACGACAGGAACGGCAGTAGCTCAGCAGCCGACCCGGAAGCTCTTCCACCACCAACCGCGAGGCTGCGAGGGGCGTGAACCCGGAAGCAATTTCCTCGCCCCGGTAGCATCGGGATGGAAAGCTAAGGCCTTTGAAGATCTGGAATCCCCTAGTTTGGGGAGGGGGTGAGGTGTGTATGGCGCTGAGCTGAGAGGAGAGGGAAGTCCAACAAAGAGCCTGTGGACAAGAGGCTCTCCGGGTCCAGAGATCAGAGCTCTCGAGGCGCGGGGTGCGGAGGGCGGCCGAACACGCCGGGCGGCTTCTGGTGGCGACCGACTGTTTTCCTGTCACAGGAAGTTGGGCCTGGCCGCTGGGAAAGTGAAGGGAAGGAGAAATGAGAAAGCGGTGACGGTCCCCCGCCCCCCAGGTGACTGTCCCACCCACTGAATTGAATGTAGTGGCCCGGGAGGTCCTCGGCCCCCCGCACGGGTGAGACGAGGAGGAGCACGATTCAGACTCCAGCGAGAGAAACGGAAAGGTAGGAGGCCGAACTATCTCCATCCACATCTAGTTTTTCCAGGCAAGGACTTTACTTCTTACAAGTAATTACAAAGACGCCAAAGACCCTTTTTGGGTGGCGGCTCTCGGTGCAGAGAGGCGTGCACGTCCTTTTCCGTTAGTGGACGCTGATGGGCGGTGGCGGAGGAAAAACCTCCTAGGCAGAGTGTTGATTTTTGTCATTTCAGGAAAAGCGATTCACAGCTTGTCCTTGGAGCTCACCGCTCCTCTCTTTCCCTCTCTCCATCTTTTAAGGCTTTGGGCTTTCGTTCTTTGCTCGGTTCTCCATGGTGTTTTTAGCTTCACCAGAAATCTTTGATCTAGCTGACCTGACTCGGGATCTCACCTCCATGATTCCCTTCTCACTCTTGGAGAGTTTTTGTATCTTCAGTTTGCTTGCAAATGCTTCTCTCAGCATCATGTTTTTTAACTGCTTTGATGTCCTCATCTTATTTTGGGGAAAATGTCAAAAACTCAAAAATGTTTTCATAACAGTAGGAAAACAATTCATTCCATGATCTTTTCGACTTAAACCCGAGTTAATGTGTTAGTTGGTTTCCCCTTCGAACTGGGTTGAAGAACTACAGTAGCAGTTGATATAAAGCATGGTTAGATATACTACGGATGAAATCATGCTCCCCCAAATAACCTCCTTAAATATACTTGTAGGAATTCATTTGTTTCCCAATTCCACTATTACTTAGTTCCTTCTCTGTTAGCCAGATTTAGTATAATTGCATTCAGAAGTTATTTGAAGATTATTAAATATCTTAAATTACAGAATAGAATGTCACTTAACAGAAGGAAAGTACTTGAAAATTACCGATGGTACTTTTTGATACTACCTGATGATTGGTAGAACTGGTTGAAAGGACAAGGACAAAACAAGCTGTGTTAGAAGTAGCACCAGTGACTATTTTCTATTCTGCTTTATTATTACTTCCTCTCTTTTTATTACTATAAACCAATTTGAGTGGCAAAAGGATGAAATTTTTAATGGTCAGCATATCTCTGTAGAGGAATTCTTACAGATATTTAGTTGCCATCACTTCTCTCTAATGTAACAATGCTTTAAAATATTAAATTGTTCCAGGAGAGTGGAGAAGTGGCAGGTAGCTACTCTACCTCAGTTTTTTTTTCCTGTAAAATGGAGATAATAATAATACTTCATCAGGTTTGGGGGAGAATAAAATGAGTTCATGCATGTAAAGCACTTAGCACAGTGTCTAGCACATAATAAACATTATAGGTGTTAGCACTTATTCATATTATTTTAAAAGCATAATAACATGGGTTTTATTAGGTTGAAAAACATTGCTTAAGGATGGAGGAGAAGGGATCAGGAACATCCTACAGAACCCTAAGATAATGCTCCTTTTTTTGTTTTTATTCATGAAGTACACTTTCTGATCATTATTGGTAATTTCTATTAGCATGTACTTTGTAAATCATCTTGTCAATTTTGACTTCTGGTAACTAAATTTACAATACCTATATTCATATACTGAATCTTCTCTTTTTCTTCATTGCAAACAACTTTTAAAGTTTGTCCATCTGGGGAATTCCAAGGCGGTCCAGTGGTTTAGGACTCTGCCCTTTCATTGCCTAGGGCCCGGGTTCAATACCTGGTCAGGAGACTAAGATCCTGCAAGCCTTGCAGTGCGGCCAGAATAAATAAATAAAGTTTGTCTGTCTGTACTCTATACAGCAAATGTTTCTCATTAAAGACATTATTGGCAGTTTGTTCAACAGGACTGTTTTTAGTAAAGATGTTAACAAACCTCCCCCCATGGGGACTAAATGGCATCTGTTCACCCCATTTCTCCCCAGTCATAGTGACGAGAAATGCCCGTACAGATTTTCAAATGATCCCAGGTAGGTATCACTCCCAATTGAGAACCACTTCTACATATTTGTAAGGCTTTATTAGTTAGGCAGCATATTATCATTTATTCTTAAGCATTTTCCAGAAAATGCCACATATTTCCTATTGGTCACTTGAACCTTTATCTAAAATTCAGTCTAAACAGATTACAAATTTTAGTTATAGCTTTTTCTGTTATTTTTAGCTCAAATTACCCTCTTCCAATCCTTTTGCATGTGTTTCTGCCTTAGCAGTTTTGCCTTCATATATTAGTAGCTTCTGTTCTTTTCCTCACTTAAGCCTTTGTTTCCTTCTTTCATGTCACTGGAAGTATGTATATTTCAAACATTCAAGTATGAATATTTCTTGAAACTCAATTTTTAGAATCTTTGGGGTACATTAACATTAAATGGCGTAAAAACAAAATGCTATAACCCTCATGGTTTTTAAAAATTATACCACATTTGTTTATCTTTTAAAAATTGAGTGTATTGTGCAATACTAAATATTCTAGAGAAGTGATAAGTATTAACAAATAAAGCTTTTTGCTAATAGATGTTTTTTTAACATGAGTTGACCAGCACAGGAATTGATTTGCTTTAAATCGTGTTTAGAAAACTAAGAATTACTTGATTTCTCTTTTTAGGTGCTTAGTAGAAAAAAGGGTTTCCATAATAGTGCCATATATGTTACAAAATGTATTCACAATGCAATGTCTTTCTTTTGGGGGCTGGCAGTCTTCAAGGAGGCATCCATACATTTCAAAATTTGTTGGGTTTTATTATCTTGAAGTCATTGTTAATCTGAGGTGAAAAGTAATTGCTAAATAGAAATTCTGAGAAGAAAAAAGCCTCATCTTTTTCACTTAGTATAGAAAGTGCTGTTGTATGAGGTGGGTTTTAAGATGATCTTATGGAAAAACTGAACTGAAAATAATTCCACAAGGTATAGAGTGAAAATGAATGTCTTCAAAACTTTTCACAAAATGAAATGTCTCAATCCTAATGTTTTCTGTAGTTTCTCTGTTGAGATAGCTGTAGTTTCTCTGGATCTAAATCAGTGAACATTTTTATAATCTAAAATAAATTTTTTTATAATTTATAACTAAATTTTATAATTTAAAATAATTTATAAATTAAAATAATTTTTGTGCAATAATTTTAATGGTTCTTTTAATTTTAGGCTAACATTTACTTAAAATGTCATAAGTTATTGGATTTTAAAAACATTTCTTTTAAAGGAAATTTTCCAGTTATAAGGCAGTGGAAGGAAGTAAATTAAAGTCTTTTGTTATTACACAAGGAAGCAAATTAAAGGTTTCAAAATGACTATTAATTGCAGTTGAGAAAACAATAAAGTCCTCTATCTCCTCTCAAAAGATATTCAAAACCTTTCTTGAAAATGAGCTCTTCTTTTTCTATGAGAGTTGGGGCAATAAGGAAATCATTAAATATGAACAGGTCATTTTAATGCCTAATGGACTTTAAAAAAAACTGAAGAAGGTTCATCTCACCATGGCCAGGAAAGCAACTCCTTGCTTGATGTTCTTTTAGAAATTTACTGGCATATAAATGAGAGGAAGTTTTTTTAAAACAAATAAATAAAATATATTCAATACAAAGAGATGTGTTTTAGTCTAGCCATGAAAAAAAATTAATAATAGCACTTAATGAAGAGATGGAACTATCAAACAACCGAGAGTGCTTGAACTTCAATTACTTGTTAGAAATTGCCTAATGGAGACTTCAAATTAGTCTGGGGAAAAAAGTGTGCATGTGTATGTATATTTAAATATATATATTATATATTTGGAAGAAAATTTTTGGATTATGTAGGGAATTGATAATGGAAGTGGGAAATATTCTTAAGTCATCATCAGAAAGCTTTTATGAACTGACTAAATGTTTTTGAGTCTGTGATAGGCAGCTCCAATGAAAATTATAAGCTATCCTTTAGTTCATCCAAATGTCAGATATCAAAGTTCTTTTTAAAGATTCTGGAAAGAATGTCAATGGCAGCTATCTATTTCTAGCTTCCAAACTATTAACAGTATGACATTCACTTGTGCAATTTATGGAAAATAAGTGGGTACTATTCTAAATTGCTAGTTCAAGCCATTTTTTACTTAGTTTTTTTTTTTTAATGTTTTAAAATGTTTTGTACAAGACATTTTATAATCATATCACCTTTTTATAGGTCCAAAAGGCAGATTCTTATGCTGTTAAGACCTATGAAAGTATGTATCCCCATTTTAAAAAACAAAAATCTACCTTTAATAGAAAAGGAAAAAAGGACAAGGTGATCTTAAATTATAAACAAAGGTTTTGAATGGTAACATATTATCAGTTATCTCTGACTTGCTTTTTACATAGTATATGTATTCTAAGATAGAAAAATCAACATTTTATTTTTTAAATTGTTTTTCAGAGTGGTTATGTGTCCTTTAATTTAATCTTTCAAGGGATTTCTTTGTTTTATAAAGCGATGGGAAATCCAGAAAACATAGAAGATGCGTACGTTGCTGTTATTCGGCCGAAGAATGCTGCCAGTCTCAATTCTCGGGAATACAGAGCTAAGTCATATGAAGTGAGAACGATTTACTAACATTTGATTTTCAACCATTGAGTGTCATTCTCCATTATCATTTTCATTTACATATAAAGTATAACCATAGCCTGTAAATTCTTGTTGATAAACTTGATCTTGACAAGCTAGAATTTACAGTCGTAGATCTGCCCATCATCATGTCTTTTCCGCTACATGTATTTTGACCATTTTTCTATTCATTGATATGGATAAATTATTAGATATTAAAAGTTACTTATTTGAGTTTTACTTATATAACTTATGAGAGTTTGGTTTTTAGTACAGTTTACGGAATGGCTCTCAAAAATTGAAAAAAAAATTGCAAAATTCAGCTTATTCAAAATTCCAACGTAAATTTTGTTCTTGGCTGTTTTCCCAAAGAACTATTTTTAAAAGTTCATTAAAAAATGTCTTTACCTTTAATTAAGTTTTAGGCAATTAAGTTACTTCTCTGTAGTCTTCAATACATATATTAGTAAACATGATTGAGGCCCCTGCCAAAAAAAACCCAAAGCAGAATTGTTATCTTTTCTATGCAGCAGATTTCAAGCATCATAAAATACTTCTAATCTAATCTAACTTGAACTAACTTCTCTAGTATTTTGCTTTAATTGCTTTTTTAAGGTTAGTTTTCTGAAACCTATTAAGGGATACTGCAGGGGTTCTGAGGAGACTACTGCTTCAGCAGTGCTCTGACTTACTGGTTCTCAGTCTTGGCTACACTGTTAAATCACCTGGGGAACTTTAACATTTCCAGTGCCAGGACCCCACTCCCCTGACATTCTGATTTAATAGGTCTGAGATGAAGCTGTGCATTGATACTGTTTTGAAAGAGTCCAGGTTATTCTTATATGCAGCTAGGGTTAAGAAAGACTGCTGGCTTATTATATTCTAGGGCAAGTAAATTTAATTTTAAACACTCTCTTAATATTATTTTTCTCATCTAAGATTTTGTTGCATGAAGTTCCCATTGAAGGACAGAAAAAAAAGAGAAAGAAGGTTTTGTTGGAAACTAAACTTCAAGGCAACAGTGAAATAACACAAGGCATATTGGATTATGTAGTAGAAACCACCAAACCAATTTCTCCTGCAAACCAGGGTATCAGAGGTAAGAAACTTTTCTTTTTAACACAGTTGGCTTTAAATGCTTGTGGAGAAAGACATTTTAAAAAGTAGATTAAAATCAGTTTCTTTTTATGTTCCTTTTCATTTGAAAAACTTGAAAAAGACTCAGAAATTTCTAGGGTTTTTTTTTTAAGGTGCAGCCAAGCCCCCTTCAAAAAGCAACTTAACGATTTTTTTAAGTTAAAAAATATTTTTGAAATGTTTAGATAATTTTAAGTAAAAAAAAAATTGAAAATATTTAAATTGTGTTAATGATTTGTTCAAGAGAGAGAGGAAGCCAACGGGTGGCTTAAAAATTAAAAGAAAGCACAAAATTACTTTTGTTAGAAGTATATTTCCCTACATAAGTATCTGTGAACTACTATGTTTGTTTCTCTACTCCAGGACAAGAGAAAACTATAAACCTCTCTCCATAACTAAGTAACAGTTAAGATTTTGTGTATTAGAGCAAGTCCTATAAATTACCAGTCAGCAGAGGTTTTCTTCCCATTTGGTCACAAGAAGAAGATCATTTTCAAAGAGCCAAAATGAATTGTAGAAGTATTCACCCTGAAAGGTTCAGGCCTCATTTAAAATATTAGATAATCTATAACCTATGAAACTGATTAAACATTAATGATCAATTTTATCAGGCTGTGGCCTCACAAGAAGCATATAGTAGAAGTTACAGAAATTATATACTCTGTCCAGGATTCAGGCATTATAATTAAAAAGGTAAAGCTAATTTCAGTCAAACAGCAGTTGAAAACAGTTGTTGATAGTGAGGTAAAGCATACCTCTCTGTGCCTAGTTTTCGGTTTTTTAAAGCTTATTTAGTGTTTTTTTCTATTTGTTCATCTTTATAGAGATTAGTTGTCTAATTCATCTCTCACTATAGAGACTATTTTTGTTGCAGAGATAAGGCTGAATCCTGTAATTTGATTTGTTGGTTATTTGGGATAGTTGTTCTCTAGAGATAGCTGAACTAAGCCTGTTTCGTAACTTCTGGAGGTACCATTCACCATATTTACCTCCCCAACCGGTAACCTCCTCAATAGGGCCTGCAGGGTTTTTGTGGCTTGGGGCTCTAAGCATTGTAACTCGAGATTATAAGAAGTTCCTGCATAAATTTACAGATCTTTGATACACATTCTGAGTACTACAGAGAGAATCCCCTTTCCCTAATTATCAGATTGACTTTTTAAATAAAATGATCTAGAAATTGATCTCAGCTAAAAAGGGGGACTATCCCTGTGGGTGATCAAGGCAAGTGAAAGGCTCTTCTTTTGGATGCCACAAATTTGTCAGCCTTTTCTACCTCAGTCTTGGACTTCTGATAAATTATCATCCAGATTTGTTTTACTATCACTAAATTGTTATAGTTATCAGGATCTATTCTGAGATGAAATTACTGAGACAAAGTCTGAGCCCAAATCACATATTTGAGCTGAGATAGACAAGTCATAATTTGCTATGAATTAGCCAAACTCTACCACTTGGTTCATTTACCAAGCAGGGGGATATAAGTGATATCAGTGTTAACAAAAATATCCCCTGGCCCAGAGGGCTGGGTAGTTTTTCTTAGGAGAAGTTACAAGTGGATAGGCACCCTGAAACATGTCTAGCACAATTATATCTTATATACTTAGACAGTAGAATGTACTAATACATTTTCAGGCAGCTTTTAATAAGAGAAATGAAAGTAAAGAAGTTTTACTTAACTAAATAGACAGTTATATCAATGAACCATGCCATACCTGACTATCCTATTCAATTGAGGTTTTCTAAAAGTGTGAAATATTTTTATAGAGTAATATGATTTCTTATATAAGCATCACATGAAAATTACCAATGACTTTATAATAGCAGTAGTTGTGCCTTTTTGTGCAGTGCTATATATAGTTTATAAAACACTACCACAATTACTTATTAATGAAATTCTTAAATTGGTCCTGTGAGTTAGTATATAGTCATTTTTACATCTGTAAAATGGAAATGCAAACATAGGTTGTCACCTACAAAAATCATATTCCCATTAGTGGAGGAGTTAGGACTAGAACCTCATTTCCCAACTTGTAATCAGTGCTTTTCTTTCCCCGCATGACAGATCTCATAGTTGCATATATAATTTGCAAAGTAGGCAATTAAACAATGGATCAGAACTGGATTTAGGGAAGCTGCAAGGCAGGAAAGATTAAGTGGGACAAGACCTCAAGCCAGACAAAAGAAATATTGCCTCTGAAATTTATTAGAATGTATCTAACATTTATATTTTGTACAAGTGTCTATTTTGTAAAAAATTGTTTGGGGGCTATAATAATAATGTGCCATAATAATCACAAATATTGACTCCAGCATTTTGTGAATGAATGAAGCTGCTTGAGCTCATATTATCTACCTGTCCACAGAAGACATCCAGCCAGGCATTCCTACCTGGGTCAAGAACAAGGTTCTATTTCTTGGGATGGGGAGATTGGAAGGGTTGATAAAAATTATGACAAAGATATCCAGAATATGAAAGGTTTTAGAGTGAAAGACTTGTAGGTTGTTATTTATAGCCCCCTTGCTGCCAAATCAGGAACAACAGACTAAGTATAAGAATGGTGGTTACGGGCTTCCCTGGTGGCGCAGTGGTCGGGAGTCCGCCTGTGGATGCAGGGGACATGGGTTCGTGCCCCAGTCCGGGAAGATCCCATATGCTGCGGAGCAGCTGGGCCCGTGAGCCATGGCCGCTGAGCCTGCGCGTCCGGAGCCTGTGCTCCGCAACGGGAGAGGCCACAACAGTGAGAGGCCCGCGAACCGAAAAAAAAAAAAAAAAAAAAGAGAATGGTGGTTACAATTCAGAACAATAGTTTATAGCCCAATCAGATTTTAATAAAAACTGAAATTGAGAGTGGAGGTTGAATATTAAATGAAGAGCTGCTAAACTTTAAGACTTTGCAGTTTATGTACACTACGCTTCTTGGCCAGCTTAGACTTTAGTGAAACTCTTACCATCTGCATCCCAACTGAATGAAGTATATGCCTGTTCACCTTGCAGGATGTGTTGCTGTTCAGCTGCTCTGTCAGTCCTTAGCAGGATGGTTTTCCTTGCTACGTATAGGAAGCTTCTCTTTTAGTGAGTCAGAACAGGGGATCTATTGGTTGATTGTCCACAGAATGATTTACATTATTACCAGAATTACCAGTTTTTATTAGTGCCCATAATAAAATTGACTTTTTATATTTCAGTTCCTCTTAATACTGCCTTTAAAATGTTTTTTTCTAATTCTCAAGGTAATATATAAGATTTTAAAAGGCCCATTATTTTTATCTTTACTGACTTAAAAAAATGATTAGGAAAACGAGTGATACTAATGAAGAAATTTCCTCTGGATGGGGAGAAGATGGGCAGAGAAGCGGCATTATTTATTGTTCCATCAGTTGTCAAAGGTAAAGTCTAAGTTTCACCTTATGAATCTTTGTATGCCTTAGGTGCTAAGCTAAAGTCTGTTGAGGAACTTAGGAATTTGGATTCATAGTTACTATTGTAATACTATTATAGAATACATGTTTTTAAGATAATGGAAGATGGAGAAATTTGTTACTTAAAAAGATGGTTTGATTTCAAAGTAATATTCAGGCTTCCAGACTGATCAGTAATATTTTCGTTTCTGTTTTTAAAAGTAGAACAAAGAAGTGAGGAAGGAAGCCATAATCGAAACAAAAAGTTTTTAGCTTATAATGAGGGATTTTTCAGGCTGTGCTATATAGGTAGAATAGAAATAAAAATTTATGTATTTTGGAAAATTAACAGATTATGATCAGAACCTATCTTATATTTGGGAAAAGAAAGTGTCAGTAATAGTTCTAAAATACTCTTCCTAACAGTAGTGGTAATATTTAAAGAACTTAGATCTAATATGAAAATTTAATTTGAGCTTTGGAAAGGAATTTATCCTATTATCCTGGAATAATAGAAAAAATATTGAGCTTCAGTGCAGACCATGCAGCCCACTAATTTTGTGTTCTGGGCAAATCACCTCTTTAAGCCTCACCTCTTTATTTGTAAGATAGGTATCTGCTCCTACTTGGTTCATCGTGCTGGAAGAATTCAGTGAGGTATTAGATGTAAAAATCACTTTGGAACCTGTAGAGTACTGGCCTCATGTAAGGCCGTAATAATACTAATGATATATTAATGACCCACTGTGGACATCTCATCAGACTGCTGCTACACAGTACTTACACGAATTTTATTAGCCAGCTCTACCATTACAGAATTTTTTTTTTCCCCAGCCATACTTAGGTTAAACAGATCAGTATGTTAAATGGTGCTGGAAACCTTATTATTAATCAGAATTTTACAACATTGTTGAGGAAGAGAAAGGGGAAACAATTTCTGTAGTCCTCCAGGATTCTAAATCCTGCATTCACCCAAATGGATAAGGTCACAGAGCTGGCCAGCACTTGAATCCAAGTCTACTAATTTAAAATCTAGAACAATTTATGTTATACTTAACAATTTTTTTAACATACTGTGTACTTTTAAATAAAAATCATGCAGTCGTAAACCTTTTATATGATGGCATAATTCTTCATTTTTCTTTTTCAGATAATACTAAATATACGTATACTCCAGGATGCCCAATTTTTTACTGCTTACAAGATATTATGCGAGTCTGTAGTGAATCCAGCACTCACTTTGCTGCACTTACAGCAAGAATGTTAATAGCCTTGGATAAGTAAGAACTGCCATTAAAAATATTTTTTAATAAATCAAATACATGTTCATATTAGATATTAGCTCTGAGAGATAGAAATTCTTTTGGAAGACAATAATAAAATTAATAATATATATATTAAGAAATGGTAAGTTTTTGAAGTATAATATAAAAATTTTAAACCCCAAAGACAAGATTGTCCTGATTTGCTTGCAACATGTTAAGTTTATTCTTAGAAAATGACAAAGATTGCCCTGGCCTAAGAATTAAGATTCCTTTGTTATAAAACTAGATTTAGTATTGATTTACCCTTATAGTGAACAAGTCGTTTCACCTGTCATGCCTTTTGTCTTTCTGTAACAGCAGGTCTAATGTCACCTACATCTCAGTGGTTTAAGTTTTTAAAGGGCTTCGTGTTTTTTGAAAAGGATTTTAATTATTATTATGTTACATGCATTAAAAAAAATAGTTTGCTATGTCCAGTAACAGAACTTTTATTTACAGTAAATGAAGTACTTAACACTAATTAAAATTATAAAAATCCCGGGACTTCCCTGGTGGCACAGTGGTTAAGAATCCTCCTGCCAATGCAGGGGACACGGGTGTGAGCCCTGGTCCGGGAAGATTCCACAAGCTGCAAAGCAACTAAGCCCGTGCACCACAACTACTGAGCCTGAGCTCTAGAGCCCGCGAGCCACATCTACTGAGCCAGTGTGCCACAACTGCTGAAGCCCATGCACCTAGAGCCCGTGCTCTGTAACAAGAGAAGCCACTGCAATGAGAAGCCTGTGCACATCACTGAAGAGTAGCCCCCACTCGCCGCAACTAGAGAAAGCCTGCACGCAGCAACGAAGACCCAGCAGAGCTAAAAATAAATAAATTTATTTTTAAAAAAATATATAAAAATCTGAATGTAGTATTAGAAAGAATCACACATCAGAGTTGGATAGTAGTTTAGTTTTTTCATCTTCACTTTTTAACATATACATCTACTACCTCTTCTTTTTATTTTGCCAGGTGGTTAGATGAACGTCATGCACAATCTCACTTTATTCCGGCTTTATTCCGACCTTCTCCTCTTGAGCGGATAAAAACTAATGTTATAAACCCTGCATATGCTACTGAATCAGGTCAGACAGAAAACTCACTACATATGGGCTATAGTGCACTAGAAATAAAGAGTAAAATGTTAGCCCTAGAGAAAGCAGATACCTGTATTTACAACCCTTTGTTTGGATCAGATCTTCAATATACAAACCGGGTAAGAGTTGAATGAATTTTGGCTTTGATTTCAAAAGACATGTCATTTCAAATGTAATTTTTTTTCCTGAGATAAATGCATCTATTACTAATTGTAAACATTAAGATGACATCCGTACTTAGCTCTATTTTTATACATCAAAGTCAGGTATCTAAAGCTCAGTATCTAAAGCTGTTTTTGTTTTTGTTTTGTTTTGTTTTCCCTTTCTAGGTAGATAAAGTGGTAATAAATCCATACTTTGGTCTAGGAGCTCCAGACTACTCAAAAATCCAAATTCCCAAACAGGAAAAATGGCAGAGAAGCATGAGCAGTGTCACAGAAGACAAGTATTGTTCTGGTTTTCCTTCACATTGCTTTTTAAACACCTAATTCTAATGTTAAAATACTGTTTAAAATGATATATGCAATGTAATCATTACATAAATGATTTAGTTTACAGCTGCTCAGTGAAACATAGCTTTCATAGATATGTCACATTTGTTTCAAAAGAATATGAATTTCAACAGTGCCTGTTTTTATTTTTCTTCTTTTCTTTTAATGATTAGGGAACGACAGTGGGTAGATGATTTTCCTCTCCATCGAAGTGCCTGTGAAGGAGATTCGGAATTATTAAGCCGACTTCTCAATGAAAGATTTTCAGTCAACCAATTAGATAGTGACCACTGGGCACCCATTCATTATGCATGCTGGTAAATAGATTATTCTTTTGTTTTTAGAAAGAATGAATCCTTAGTTTGTAAATGTTAGTGCTTCTTTTCAAAGCTGTCCTCATTCCAGCCACTTTTTCCTCTACCATGTTTGCCTTATGAGCTTTATCTGTAGTAATCTTTGATTACTGTGTATGTGCCACACCGTTCAGATTTACAAGGTCTGCCCCACAGGAAAAGTATCATTAATGTTTTCAGGCATCCTGAGGTCATGCAGTAGGATAGCTAATGACTAGCAAGTGCCATTGCACAGCACACCGTCCCTTATTCACCCTTGCAATTTCTATTGTTTTGTACTGGAGTTGTGTTATGTTTGTTTATCCTTATTATATTTTATTTTATTATTGTTATTATTTATTTTTTATTTTTGGCTGCGTTGGGTCTTCGTTGCTGCGTGCAGGCTTTTCTCTGGTTGCAGTGAGTGGGGTCTACTCTTAGATGCAGTGCACAGGCTTCTCATTGCAGTGGCTTCTCTTGTTGCAGAGCACGGGCTCTAGGCACGTGGGCTTCAGTAGTTGTGGCATATGGGCTCAGTAGTTGTGGCTTGCAGGCTCTAGAGCTCAGGCTCAGTAGTTGTGGCACATGGGCTTAGTTTCTCCGTGGCATGTGGGATCTTTCCAGATCAGGGCTTAAACCTGTGTCCCCTGCATTGGCAGGCGGATTCTTAACCACTGTGCCACCAGGGAAGCCCTATCCTTATAAAATTTACATGTGTTAGCTACTTATGATTTGACCTTGCATCATGTTAGAAAAGTATTCTTTTAGTTCTTTGGAAAGCTGTGGTATCAGGAAACACCAAAAGTTTTCATTAGAATTAAAGCCTTCCTTTTTTTTTTTTTTTTTTTTATGAGAGGGATTAGCTCACAGGATTGGAGTTAGCTCTTTCCACTAGTTGCCCAGTGTAGTTCTTGCTCTGGTACTCTTCTCACATAATAATAACTCTTCCCCTCAGCCTGGGTTACGTTCTTAAATTTATGTTCGTAGCAGTAGTTAACTATTTGCTGTAGCCTGTCCTCTAGAAAGGATGTAATTAAGTTATTTACCATTATTTCTTATGGGAAAGTTGCTTTTGACTTACTGTTTAAAGTGAACTTCTTTGGCTAGTTTAAGAAGTGCCTGCACTATTTACGGCCTGTTAAAGTCCACAACTTTTTAGCTGCATGACGTTGAGCAAATGACTTTACTTCAGAGGTCCCCAACCCCCAGGCTGTGGACCGGTACTTGTCCGCGGCCTGTTAGCACCCGGGCCGCACAGCAAGAAGTGAGCTGCAGGCGAGCAAGCGAAGCTTCATCTGCCGCTCCCTGTCACTCGCGTTACCTACCGCCTGAACCATCCCCCATCTATGGAAAAATTGTCTCCCACGAAACCAGTCCCTGGTGCCAGAAAGGTTACTGCTGCTTTACTTTACCTCTCTGCATCTTAGTTTATTATCTATATGTAAAATACATTAATTAGATCATTTTCAACTCAAACTCTTTTTATTTCACTGTGATCAAATAGCTTATTGATCAATATTTCTGATCTAGTAACTAAATATAGTTGCTTTTAATATATATCTTTTCTCCATTAAAAATATGCTGTTTCCTTAAAAATATGCTCCTTTATTAAATAAATATGCTCTTAATTTTTTTTTCTGTTTCCTTAAAAATATAATCTTTTATTCTATAAATGTATTCTTAATTGTTTTACCATTACAGGGAATTTTTATACTCAGATTTGGAAAGAGTTACCCTAAATCTTCTTTCACTGAACTTACAGTTGTTGCTTCAGATTACTGGTAGATACTGGTAGAAGCAGCAGTACCAGAAGAAATCACATGCTTTTTGTTGAGCTAAACAAAAAGAGGTAGAGAATATAGTTCAAACTCCAAGAAAGTACACTGTGGAATTGAAAAAGACAGAGGCAGTAAATTTTAGCTTAGGAATCCCAAATTTATATTTGCCTATATTGTTGCCCTTTTTGCGGCAGGGCCTTTTTTTCTTCTCTATTAAAAGAATGGTAATATTTTCAACTGCCTATTACATAAAAACAGAAGTATGGTATAGTATTTAATGTGCTTTGGTATGTACCTACGTTTCAGACCCAACTGAAACTTTTAGTTCCTAAAAGTATGGCCTTTAGCAAATTACTTAATGTCTCTAAGGATCTGTTTCTTTATCTAAAAGATGAGCGTAATTTTAGTGCCTCTCCTCAGATTAGAGGAGAAAATGCAAATAAATGCTTTGAAGGGTACCTGGCAGTAATAAGCACTCAAAAAATGTTGTCTGTTATTAAAGTGTTATAAAAATTTAAAGATTTTGATGTCTGAATCTAAAATTCATTACCTGTTGTACTTTTATTTGTAAAGTCGTATTACTGCAATACACCAAGGAAGAGTTTTATCCTTCAATAAAACTAATTTCTGTTAGCTGGAAATAATAACCAAGTTTAATACACCACTAGTAGTATAGGTCACCTTGCAGTACTTTTTATTTTTGGCTGCATTGGGTCTTCGTTGCTGTGCGCGGGCTTTCTCTAGTTGTGGTGAGCGAGGGCTACTCTTCATTGTGGTGTGCAGGCTTCTCATTGCGGTGGCTTCTCTTGTTGTGGAGCATGGGCTCTAGGCGCGCGGACTTCAGTAGTTGTAGCGTGTGAGCTCAGTAGTTTTGGCTCGCGGGCTCTAGAGTGCAGGCTCAGTAGTTGTGGCGCACGGGCTCAGTTGCTCCACAGCATGTGGGATCCTCCTGGACCAGGGCTCGAACCCGTGTCCCCTGCATTGGCAGGCAGATTCCTAACCACTGCGCCACCAGGAAAGTCCTGCAATACTTTTAATAAGATAGATAATTTGATTCATGTGAATTTGAATGAAGACTGATTTAACTGTTTAGTAAAGAACATAAATTACCTTATCTTGGAAATGTACTCTTATTCACTAACTGGTACAAGGATTGAGAAGGGGAATACTGGGCTATCTCATCAAGAGACTGGGATTTGGGGCCTATCTTTATAAGCTTAGACAAGATGTTTTACCCATCTTTTTCTGTTTTCTCATCTTTAAAATGAGGGGTTTTATTAGATCAGTGGTTCTCAAACTTTTGTGTTAGGGTTCCTTGTCATTCTTCAAAATTACAGGATCCCAAATAGCTTTGGTTTATGTGAAGTATATCTAGTGTTACTATATTAGAAGTTTAAACTGAAAAATATTTTAAGCATTTCTTAACTCATTTTAAAATAACAATAAACATATATTAACATAAATAACAAAGTTTTATGAAATATGCCCTTATTTTCCAAAAACAAAAAAATTAATGAGAAAAGTAGCATTATTTTACATTTTTGCATCTTTTTACTGTCTAGCCTTGTAGAAGATAGTTGGATTCTCACATCTGATTCTGCCTTTAATTTGCTGCAATTTTCATGTCAGGTAGCTTCTAGAAAACTCCATCGTACACTTACGAGAAAATGATAATGAAAAGGGCAGATAACATCTTAGTATTATTATGAAAATATGTTTGACCAAGAGGACACCCTGAAAAGATTTCAGAGATCAAAGAGTTTCCTGGATCACTCTTTGAGGACCACTTAATTAAATCACTCCTAGGATTACTCCAAGCTTCAAAAATTCTCATATTGATGACATGTGCCTAAAAATTTTCTTTACTAGAATCACCATTTTCCAAAACTATTTAAGTTGACTTTCTCCCCTTATGGGTAACTTGTCAGCCACTCAGTAAAAGTCTCACTGACATCTCATATTTTCTCACCTCTCTCAAATCAGTATCTTCTCTCTCTGATAGTACCTTCAGGCTTCATATCATTGCTAAAGAGTATTTTAGAACTATGATGATTTGGCTCCCTACAAATTATTCCATCTGATTTCATTTGGGCCTTCACTGTAGCCAGTTGTGTGTTGTCTTTGTCTCATTCATCTTGGCAGCCTTTTGGTCCCCTATAAACTATTCTAAATCTTTCTACTCTTAAGCACTTAAACTTCCACTACCTTTTTTCTCTACTCTCATCAGATAGTTTTACCCCCTATTTTCAAAGACAGTTGACGCCATCAGAAATGTCCTTCTTCTCCACCCCAATCAGTTCTTTTGTTCCCATCTCTCTCCTGTATCATAGAGTTTGCATGAAAAATCCTTCTTGTTCCCCATTAAATTCACTTCCTACTTTTCTGCACTTTCTTTCCTCTTGTCTTCAAACATACATGGTTCTTCTCCCTCCTTGAAAAAGAACCTTAATTTGAACCTGCTGCCTCTTCTGGCCACTATCCTGTTTATTCCCTTCCTTTCATAGCCAGACTTCAATGGTAAGGGGGCCACACACACTGCTTTCTCTTTTTCACTCTTCATGAACCTTCTTAACCTTTTCTGAGTTTTTAATCTCTTTCCCTGCTCTGCTGCATTAAATGCTGTTGACCACCCCTTTGTTCAAGGAACAAATTGCAGTTGAAAGGACAGCTATAATGGAGCTATAGTAAAGGTCAGTACAAATGCAAGATATAACTGATACCATTATTATGATTATTGAAATACGGGTCTCCATTCTGTGACCCAAGCATGTGTTTATAGTATGGAAACAGCTATACCACGATTCAGAAAACTGGATTCTAACTGGCTGGTAACCATGAGACCTTGGGCAAGTTACTTAACTGGTACAAGCTTCATTTTTTTCATCTGTGCACTAGAAATATCTCTGCCTGCATCGTAATTTGCTGTGAAGATTATATTAAGTAATTATATAAGGAAGTACCTTGAAAACTTTAAAGAATCATACAAAATATGTTTATATTAATTATTTTTATTATTACTTCTTGAATTGCTCCCCTAGTATCTTTTCCTATCCTGAAAGTGTTTTTCAAGATGCATTTCATTGTTCTAAAATGTTCATCTTTCTCAAAATTCTCTCAGAAAGATTTCATCCATTCCTCCCAGCCTTAACAGTAATTCTTCTCAGTTGGATGAATTTGCATATTCTTAGATATCTCAAGCCTTTGCCTTCCTCCTGAGTACCAAGTCTGCATTTTCAATTGCCAACTGAACAATTTAGTCACTCTTTTTTTTTTTCTTTTTTTTTTATATACATAAGGCAGTTTGGAGAATGCAAAGACATAACCTTCAAGGAGCTTCCAGGCTGATAGAAATGTATATATACATTTTGGTCCCCTATAAAAGTAGATAAAATGAGGTTAAAAACTAAAACTGAAATGGTAAAATGTAGTGGGAATATAGAGGAGGTAGATTTTAAACTGTTTCAGAGAAATAATAGAACTTAACCTAAACAAAGTCAGGAGGGGGAAAAGGACATCTCAAGAATAGCTAAGAACATGAGCAAACAGTCATGAATAAGAAGGCTAGGATACAATTAGCAGGTTCAGGGTGTAGGAAAACCATAGGGTATGTGAAGGGGAAGAAAGTTGACAGCAAATCGTATTAGTTCTAAAGATGTGCTATTTTCCCCTCAAATGCACCATATTTAAAAGCAAATTTCCTATCTCCTTCTACCCATTTATTTCCAAAAAATGAATTACCTTTCCACCATTGCATTAGATTGCGACCTTATATAAGTCTTTATAACCAAATGGTGGACTCACTATGTCTCGCACATTCTTTGTACTCTTTTTCCCACTATCTAGAATATTTACTTCTCTTCAGCATCTCTTCAGCTTCTTCCTATTTAAAATCCAGTTCAAATTATTCTTCTGTCAGAACACTTTTCAGAACTGAGACTGAAATCTTATCTTCGTTTTCCAACATTTTTTAAAGCATTAATTATATACTATTATGATTTGACAAATATATATTTTTTGATTGTTCTCCTCAACTGTTACTTAAATTTTACAGTGTTATGTAACTTATCTCATGTTTTTGTTTTCCTCTCTGATTACATTATAAGCCTTTACCAGAGCAGAGACCGTTCATTGTAACATATCTTCGTGTCTCCCACATTGCCTCATACAGCAGCTATGTGGAGAATTACGTCTTTGGGCCTATTTTGTAAATCAAAGGCAGGGCTGAGTAAAAAGCATTAAATTTATGGGTTACTTTCTGCTTCTGAAAAGAATTTTGACTAAAAATTTTATCTCCCTAATTTATAACTTTTGTATTGTATTTTGTGTGATAGTGATTCTCTGTCATCTACTCTATCTTGTATTTGAGATTATATTTTCTCCCAGTTGATCAGAAATAGAAACAGTTGAACTGAATCAGAGTAATTCATAAGAAACCCCTGAGCACTGAAAACATTACATCTGTGTCTTCATTGCTTGTTCTCTGCCCTAGAAAAATCTTAGATATTGTCTAAAATTTGGATTTTTCAAACATTTCAGGTGACTTTTTAGGTGTTTTATTTTTTTATAGGTATGGAAAAGTTGAAGCCACTCGCATATTGTTAGAGAAAGGAAAGTGCAATCCAAACCTTTTGAATGGACAACTTAGTTCTCCTCTTCATTTTGCTGCTGGAGGAGGACATGCTGAAATAGTACAGATTCTCCTAAACCATCCAGAAGTTGACAGAGTAAGTTATTTTCCAGGCTTTTTTTTTTTTTTTTTTAATGATCAAACAGTGAATAACAATGACACTAAAATGTTAAGTTATACACTTGAGAGGTCAGCTGAAAAATAAAAACAAATTTCACTTACTATATAGAATAAGTAATATTTATGATACACTTTGCTTTTGTACATACTTTTTTAGATTATAGTAAAATATGTCTCACATAAAATTTACCATTTTAGCTATTTTTAGATGTACATTGGCATTAAGTACATTTACATTGTTTTAGAACCATCACCGCCATGCATCTACAGAATGTACATAAAATTTAACCTCTTTTCACTTTATAGTGTATTTTCTCAAAAATATCTTTAAGAAGGAAAAGGATATTTTGGAATTTGTACTAACAAGTATTTTGGGGCTTCCCTGGTGGTGCAGTGGTTCAGAATCCACCTGCCAATGCAGGGGACGGGGGTTTGAGCCCTGGTCCGGAAAGATCCCACATGCCGCGGAGCAGCTAAGCCCATTCACCACAACTACTGAACTTGTGCTCTAGAGCCTGCGAGCCACAGCTACTGAGCACACACGCCTAGAGCCCGTGCTCTACAACAAGAAAGGCCACCACAATGGGAAGCCCACACACCACAACGAAGAGTAGCCCCCACTCGCCCCAGCTAGAGAAAGCCCGTGCACCGCAACAAAGACCCAGCGCAGCCAAAAATAAATAAATTAAATAAATAAAATTTTTTTAAAAAAGCTTTAACAAAACCTTTGTTGTTACTATAATCAGAACTTTTTTTGGGGGGGCGGTGCGCGGGCCTGTCAGTGCTGTGGCCTCCCCCACTGCGGAGCACAGGCTCCGGACGCACAGGCTCAGCGGCCATGGCTCACGGGCCCAGCCGCTCCGCGGCATGTGGGATCCTCCCGGACCGGGGCACAAACCCACGTCCCCTGCATCAGCAGGCGGACTCCCAACCACTGCGCCACCAGGGAAGCCCTATAATCAGAACTTTTGAAAAACAATAATCACATTGATTAGTGCTTTGAGTCATCTTTGGCAGTTCATGTTTAAGTATAGCATGCACTAAGTTTGCTTAATATGTACTTAACACTTGACAATAGTTTTGTAATGAAACTGTGATATTTTCCCTTATTTGTACATTTGTAATGCCTTTTATCTTTAACCTTTTCTTTTTCCCCCACATTTCTAGCACATAACAGACCAACAAGGAAGATCTCCTTTAAATATTTGTGAAGAAAACAAACAAAATAATTGGGAAGAAGCTGCAAAATTGTTGAAGGAAGCCATTAACAAACCAGTAAGAATTATCTTCATAAATACTAATTAGAGCCAAGCATTGTATTTAAATTGATAAGTAATTTGAGGATCTGTGTCAAGGGTGGAAGGATATAAATGTATGGATGGCTTCTTTCCTGCTTTTATAAAACCTCATGGTTAGACTTCATAGGTATTAAATTTGTTATCATCCCTAACATTTGGACATTTATTCTTGCATATCAAAATAAAACTGCATAAATAAATCTTTCGATCAGTTAAAATTAATCTAATTTCCAGTATAATCTGTATACTTGGTATGCCGATTACAAATTTTAACCTGTTCATTGGAGCATCTCTCTCTACTTAGGCCTTCTAAGTAATATATTTGTAAATATTGGGCTGGCCAAAAAGTTCGTTCGGGTTTTTCTATAATGTATGAAAAACCTGAACGAACTTTCTGGCCAACCCAATAATAATATTACACATCATTTGGTAATTTAGTTTCGGCAAGTTGTCATCTATTACAGATTCATCTTCCTCCTCAAGATAATGAATGGGTTAAAATAGGAGATTTCTAAGTCTTTTATTCTGCCAGTTCAACCTGGCCTTTCCCCCTACTTACGTACAAAATAATTAGCAGTGACATTAAAATAGAGAAGAATTAACAATTAGAAAAATCTCAGTTATGCCTGAAAGTTATAGTGATGTTAAAACTGTTATCAGTTTAAAAATTGTTTGGAAACTTGAAAACCAGATAAAAGGATTTATACCAACTGATAAAGGATAAAAGTTATACCAACAGGTATAACCCGTATGTTTGAGCCTTTCCAGACATTTCTATTAAGTAGGCAATGAGTATTTGTTGAATATTTTTGTAAATTTAACACCATAAAATGCTGAAAGTGATGTGATAAAGAATACGTATTCTTTATTTATTCAGTACATGATCTCTGCCTTTAAGGAAAATTACACACATTCATACACATTTTTGTCAAAACACTATTCCCTGAGTACAGGACAAAAGCAAAGAAATAGATAAGCAGTACAGGCACCCTTATGTTATACTTCGTTGCAATTTGTTTTCTATTTGTATAGTTAAAACACATTTTTAGGGACTTCCCTGGCAGCACAGTGGTTAAGAATCTGCCTGCCAATGCAGGGGACACGGGTTTGAGCCCTGATCCAGGAAGATCCCACATGCTGTGGAGCAACTAAGCCCATGCGCCACAGCTACTGAGGCTGTGCTCTAGACCCCGCGAGCCACAACTGCTGAAGCCCATGTACTGCAATGAAGAGTAACCCCCTCTTGCCACAACTAGGGAAAGCCCGTGTGCAGCAACAAAGACCCAACACAGCCAAAAATGAATAAATAGATTTTGTAAAAAACCACATTTTTATTTCTTATATAATTTTTATATCTGAATGTATAAAAGGAATTAGGTACTTTTATCTAAAATGAACTGTCCTGGAAGTTGTTTGGTGGCATCAGTTACTTCCTATAACAATAAAAATGTATTGAGAATATCATTTCTCTCTGGGATTTTCTGAACAGGAGGAAAGAAACTGGCTCATGGTCCATTGTTTCATAACTTTTATCTGCAAAGTCTTTTATCACAGATTCCTCTTAGGACAAATTATTGCTGGTACACATTTCTACATTCTAATTTGTGGCTCACTAAACTCACGAGGTACTTGACTAACACCAGATTTAGTTAACCAAGTCTATATCCCCCATTTGATATTTACATTGTACATTAATGGCTTTAAAATATCCTTTCAGAAGATTTTGAAGTTGAACATTTTTAAAAAACCCATTTGCCTTAGTTTCTCAAACTTATTTGACCATGGAATATTCAGAGGAAAACATGTTAGAAAATATAAATAATGAAAAAAAAATTTTTTTTAATATCGCTAGAAGGTCCAGTGGTTAGGACTCTGTGCTTCCACTGCAGGGGGGGTGCAGGTTCAATCCCTAGTTGGTGAAGTAAGATCCCGCAAGCCACATGGCAAGGCAAAAATAAATAAATAAAATACTGCCAGAAGATTCTCACTTGAAGTTGTTTTTAAGCAGATGAAGTTGAAATTAAAGCATTTTGTTGTATTGGGATGTATAATTTATAACCAGGTTGCATAATTTATTATCATTCTTTGTCCTAGTATGAAAAAGTTCGAATATACAGAATGGATGGATCATACCGTTCTGTTGAACTGAAGCATGGAAATAATACCTCAGTGCAGCAGATAATGGAAGGAATGCGTCTCTCTCAAGAAACACAGCAATATTTCACTATTTGGATCTGTTCAGAAAATCTCAGTAAGAAATTTGTTATTCTGTTGTATAAACCTGATTGTTCCTTTTTGAGAGTAGGTTGGTAAACTTAAGTATAGCATCAATTATTATTGACTTTTAAATTTTCAAATGAGACAGTGTTCTTCTCTTTTATACAGATTGTTTATGTTCAGACTGCTGAAACAGATAAGCCTCTGCTTCCTCCTGGCCCCTCTTTGTTCATACAATGGTTTGTTTTTTTTTTTTTTTTGTGGTACGCGGGCCTCTCACTGTTGTGGCCTTTCCCGCTGCAGAGCACAGGCTCCGGACGCGCAGGCTCAGCGGCCATGGCTCACGGGCCCAGCCGCTCCGCAGCATGTGGGATCCTCCCGGACCAGGGCACGAACCCACGTCCCCTGCATCGGCAGGCGTACGCTCAACCACTGTGCCACCAGGGAAGCCCGCATACAATGTTTGAAATGATAAAAACCAAAACATTTTTCTTTGGCAATGAATTTGATTTGAATGCTGTTAAACGTAGTGCTCATCCAACTTGCCTTTATTTTCAGTGCTCACCTCATCTCAGAATAATACAGATTTTCTTTTTCTGTATATTGGTTTTCTATCAGATCTTTGTTATTTAAACTCGACCCAATGTCATTATAGATTTGTCTCTCAGACAAAGTATTGCAGATACATAAGGAATTTCATTGAGGTGGTTGTGATTGGTTATCTAGTGATTTAATTGTATTTTTTTAAACACCAAATTCTACTGATTTTCTCATTAAATAGGCTATCATGGAATTAAGGATCTTAAATATATTTGATAAATTTTATTCATTTTCAGATTTAGTCTCATAATTATATTCTTAATAAACAATTAACTTCAAATTGGGTAGTAATGTTGATTAAAGTCAATATTGATTTAAATTTAGACCTATAATTTGTGTGTGTTCAGTACTTAGGTACAGAGAGTTTGATAAAAAGTTTCTATGTGTTGATATAATTGGTTCATTTTTACATTATCATTTATAAAAGGAAAGATGTTTTTCAGGCCTTCAACTCAAGCCTTATCATAAGCCATTGCAACATGTTCGTGACTGGCCAGAAATACTTGCTGAATTGACTAATTTGGATCCCCAAAGGGAGACACCGCAGCTTTTCCTAAGAAGAGATGTGAGACTTCCTTTGGAAGTTGAGAAAAAGGTTTGCTCAGAAATCTTTTTTACAGTCATTTAAATGTTCAGAATCTACTGAGTTCCTGTTTTAAGCACTAGAGGCAAAAATTGTACTCTTCCTTTACAGGAGGTTTTATTTCTGTTTTTCTGTTCAATCCTTACATCCCTGTTTTAAGTGGTAGGGTTTGAGTGAGTCTACTTACAAAGCCCCTGGTTGGTTTTTCCATTTCCCCACCTCCATTGTCTTAGAATACAAAAGAAATAGAGAATCCATCCTAAAGAGAATTACCAACCAGATGGGAGAAAGATTTTAGAGTAGAAAAAAATTTTAGAGTAGTTAGAAAGGGAGTACAGTGTCAGATAAACTTAATAAAGGGCTAATCAGTTGCGTAAGTTTCAAAGGAGCAAAGAGATGCATTGGTGTAAGGGGAGAACAGAAAAAACATTCTGGATAGAGAAGATTATATTTACAAAGGGGACATTAAAAAGTTATCCTCAACAGTCGGTAAATAGCTGTTTTTGACTCAACAGAGAACTATATAGATAGTAAAAAATGAGAATGGAATTTACATTTGATTACAAAAAGGTCTGTCCCAAACAATTATGTTTGGATTTGAATTACTGTAAATTTTAGAGGAGAAGTGAAATAATGTCATCTGAGGGACGACTGGACAAGGAAGAAACCTAAGGGAGATGTTACAAGTTAAACTAGGTGATAATCTAAATACAGTGGTAGCTGTGAAAACTGGGGGAAAAAGAAAACTTCCAGGCTCTCATAAATTTGGTGAAGAAAAAATACACAATTTCCAGATTCTTTATTCAAGAAAATATTAAACAGACATGGTTAAACAAATTTTAGCACATGAAAATTTCAGTGACCTTGTCCAAACTTGGTAAATGTTTTATGCCTGACTATTCATATTGTCCCTCTTCTGTTATCAAACTAAAGGTAAAAAAGCCATTTGACAAAATCCAGTAGCCTTTCATGGTAAAACTCTCAGAAAACTAGGATAGATGGGAACTTGCTCAGTGTAATAAATGGCATTTATGAAAAACCCACAGTTAACATACTCAGTGGTGAAAGACTGAAAACTCCTCCTAAGAACAAGACAAGGATACCTGCTTTCACTACTGCTGTTTAACAAAGAGCTAGAAGTTCTAACCAAAGCAATGAGCCACACTCCCCCAACCACCACCGCCCAAAAAAAAGGAAAGAAAGAAAAGAAAAAAAAAGAAAGGCATCCAGATTGGAAAGGAAAAAGTAAAACTGTCTCTGTTGATCACAAATGACATTATCCTGTATATAGGAAATTCCAAAGAATCTACACAAAAGCTACTAGGGCTAATAAATGGATTCAGCAAAGTTGTAGGGTACAAGCTCAACACACGAAAATTAGTTGTTTCTATAACCAGCCACAGACACTCCCCCCCCAAAAAAAAGGAAACTAAAAACTCCATTAAAATAACTTCTAAAAGAATAAAATACCTAGGAATAAATTTAGCAAGAGAGCTGCAAAACTCGTACACTGAAAACTACAAAAACATTGCTGAAATAAAGAAGACATAAGTAACTAGAAAGACATCCCATGTTCAAGGATAAGAAGACTTAATATTTTTAAGACATCAATACAAGCAAAGTGATCTACCAATTCAACACAATTCCCTAACAACAGACGTTTTTGCAGGAATGGGAAAGGCAATCCCCAAATTCATTGCAAAGGGCCTTGAATAGCCAAAACATTCTTGAAAAAGAAGAATAAAGTTGTGGGATTCACATTTCCAAATTTCTTACCACAAAGCTACAATAATCCAAACAATATGGTACTGGTATAAGGATAGACATAGACTAGTGGAATAGAATTGAGAGTCCTGAAGTAACCCCATATATCCATGCCAACTGCTTTTTGACAAGGATGCCAAATGCATCCAATGAAGAAAACATAGTCTCTTCAACAGATGATGCTGGGACAACTGGAAATTCATATGCAAAAAGTATAAAATTAGACCCTGATCTCACCACATCAGAAATTGACTCAGTGTATCAATAACCTAAATATAAAAGCCAAAACCATAAACCTCTTAGGACAAAATATATGGGTAGTCTTCATGACCTTAGATTTGGCCTTGGAGTTTTAGATATGACACCAAAAACATGAGTAACAAAAGAAAAAAATCGTTAAATGAGACTTCATCAAAATTAAAAGCATTTGTAAATCAAAGGACATTGTCAAGAAAAAGACAAGCTAGAGAATGCAAGAAAATATTTGCAAATCATAAATCTGATAAGTGTTTACTATCCAGAATATTAAAAGAACTACAACTCCACAATGAAAAGACAACCCAATTAAATTGGGTAAAGGACTTAAATATCATTTCTCCAGTAAAGATATATAAGTGGCCAACAAGCACATGCGAAGACGCTCAGCATTATCAGTCATTAAGGAAATGCAAATCAAAACACAATGAGAAACCACTTCACACCTACTAGGATGGTTGTAATAATAAAAATTTATAAAAGAAGATGTTGAGTTTTGATGAAGACATAGAGAAATTGGAACCCTTGTATGTTGTAGGTAGGAGTGTAAAATGGTGCGGCTGCTGTGGAAAATAGTTGAGTGGTTCTTCCAAAAACTAAGCATAGAATTACCATTTGATCCAGCAATTCCACTCCTAGGTATATACCTAAAGGAAACAAGAACTCAAACAGATACTTGTATTCCAGCATTCTTAACAGCATTATTCATAATAAACAAAAAGGTGGACACAAGCTAAGTGTTCATCAACAGATAAATGGATGAAGAAAATGGAATATTATTCAGCCATAAAAAGGAATGAAGTTTTGATACATGTCGTAACATGGATGAACCTTGAAAACATGCTAGGTGAAATAAGCCATACACAAAAGGACAAATACGGTTTGATTCTACTTATCGTAAATAAATATCTAGAATAGATACCATAAACAGAAAGTATATTAGTGTGATGGGGGAGAGAATGAGGACTTAATGGTTACAGAGTTTCTGTTTGGTCAATGAAAATATGGAAATAGTTGTGATTATTCACAACATTGTGAATGTAATTAATGCCACTAAATTCTATAGTTAAAAATAGTTAAAATGGCAAACTTTGTTAGCAGTTCTTAAAATGTAATAGATGTATGAAATTTGCAAATAATCTAAATATACTCAGCCTGTCTTCTTTCTAAGTAAAATTTTTAAAGTTGGCTGGTAGAGAAAGAGCAATAATGATAATACTCGGATATTAATTAATTGCATATTATGTTACAAATAATACAAAGTAGGTTCAAGTGAAAAGAAGCAAGGCTTAGTGAGTACTTAAGGTGAATCAGAATATCACGATCTGATAAAGTGGTTGCGTTCTTTTTCACTCATTGTGTAATTGAAAAATTCCTATTTTTACCACCTGAAAAATAGAAGAATTGTATTTTTTTGGTTAGGATTATTCTTTTAGGATGAAAAGAGCCTGCTTTCATTTAAAAAGAACAATTGTTGACTAATAGTCACTGAACACACTATGAGGAATTATAATTATTCTCTATTCAAACTCTTCAAATTCTTTAAGTCAATTTTTATTAGAAAAATGTTTTCTTTCATTTTTTCCCAACAATTATTTTGAGAAATTAAAAACCCATAGGAAAGTTGAAAAAGTAATAAACTTCATGCCATCATATACCATTCATTAAATTCACTAATTGTTAACATTTTGCTACATTTGTTTCATCTTCCCTCTCTTTTGGTTGTGAACCATTTAAAATTGAGTTGCAGACATCCTGGCACTTCATCCTTAAATATTTTAACATCCATCTTCTAAGAACAAGGATGTACCTACATAGTACAGTACCACTTTCACCCTAATAAAATTAATGTTTCCATAATAACCTCTAATATCAGACCCATATTCAAATTTCCCCCCAATTTTTCAGTCTCTTTTAACTCCCAACTGAAGGAGCTAGTCAGCGTTCATGCTTTGCATTTGATTACTGTCTCTTTAAGTCTCCTTTAGTCTAGAGCAATCCCCTTATCTTTTTTTCCCCATGAAATTCTGTTTCAGTTTTTTTAATATTATCAACATATGGAGTATTATATTATTTTAGTTAGTATGACAACATTTCTTTTGCCATAAGGAATTTGGGTCATTTTGAATCATATTTGGAAACATACTAAGTATTCATTCAGAATCTCTATAATTGGTGATTATTTCCAAGTAGAAATGTATTCTTTAGGCTGGCATTTTTCAATGTTTGTTAATCTTATCAGATAAAGTGAAACTTTAAAGTTTTCAAAACTTAAAAAAGTATGCTCTCCTTTAGTGTTATTTGAAAGTGCAAAGTACTGAATATTTTTTAGTCAAATAAAAAATGTTAAGCTTTTTTCAAACTTCATGTGTCCTTCTGGGAGTTAATACTTCCTTTTATCTTCTTTGAGGTTCATTACTGTATTGGGTGAAGCACAGACTGTAGAAGAATGTTTGAGGAATATAAAGAGTTTAAGTAAAATTGTACTATAAGTTATACACACTCATATCCATAAACTGATGATAATTTTATTGAACTGTGAATCAGAGGTTAGCAACCTATGGCCTATTGCTGTATCTGACCTGTTGCCTACTTTTGTATATCCTGCAAGCTATTAATGGTTGAAAAAAATTCAAAAGAATATTTCATGTCATGTGAACATTTCATGAAATTCAAATTTCAGAATCAATATAAAAAGTTTTAGTAGAACTCCAACATTTGTAGATGTATTGTCTATAGCTGCTTTTGTGCTACAATAGCAGAGTTGAGTCATTCTAACAGACTATCTGACTCACAAAGCTTAAAATATTACTATCTGGGCTTTAATAGAAAAAAATTGTCAACCTCTGCTCTAAAACAATAACAGCTTATTTATATGAAATTACATAGCTTTTGCTTTTTCATATTAGATAGTGGCAAGTTGTACATTTATAACAGGAAATTGTGACCTAATAACCAAATTATGCTTTTTCTTTTAAGATTGAAGACCCATTAGCTATTCTTATTCTCTTTGATGAAGCCAGATATAATTTATTGAAGGGCTTTTATACGGCTCCTGATGCTAAACTGATAACATTGGCAAGTCTACTGTTGCAGATAGTTTATGGAAATTATGAGAGTAAGAAACACAAGCAAGGTTTCCTAAAGTAAGTATTTAATACAATTCATGGTCTTGTGCTATACCCAAGGTTCAGTTTAACCAAGAAAATTTAGAAATATTACGTTACTAAGAACTATTTAGACGTTGGTTTGGAATTAAATAATATAAGGCATGGAATGAGAAAAAAAAAAAAAGTAAAGCATTCTTTACGTTACACTCTCTCCAAAGTTCTTTTTCTTATATTTGAATATAGTTTGATATGCCTTATACTTGTTAGCTTTATCTTTCTTTACTGTATGTTTAAATAAGTTCACTAAAACCTGACTTGGATTAGTAGAAAAAATGTTACAAGGCAGATGCATTTTACCATATACCACCACAAAAACTAGTTCACGTTTCATGTTGAGAGAAAACATTGAGGTTTTAGCACATCTAAAGTTTGTTTATTGTAGTTTTCAATATTCAAAAATATTTTGTGGCTACTGAAAGAAGAAACATTTCTCTAAATTGAGCAATATTAGGATCGTGACTTTTTGCTTAAAATGTTGAGAGTTCTCTGATATGTTACAATATAATATTTTTCAGCTCAAAAATCATATTAATTAAAGCCATTTACATGTAAATGATTATATTACTGTAGCTACTAAAGATGATTTATTTAAAAGATGTTGGTGTATTTTCTTACAGTGAAGAAAATCTAAAATCCATTGTACCTATTACCAAATTGAAAAGTAAGGCACCTCACTGGACAAACCGAATACTTCATGAATACAAGGTAAGCTGTTAAATAGAAATAAAAAGACATTTTATAGCCTAGTTGAAATTTTGTTAGTATTATTAATATGTTTTAAACATAGGTACATTACATTTTATTCTTGAAATTAAATAAGGATCTTATAGTTCACATGCCTGAAAGGAAAAGGAGCAAAATAGTTTTATTTTTAATAATGTAGAATCTTTTACTGAATACCGTCTGTATGCTGGATACTGTGGTAAGTGCTAGAGATTAAAAAAACATGAGATAATACACTATCTCTATCCATGAGGCACTTAAAAATGTAATAGAATAGATAAACATTATTTTTAGACCTTGATATTTCTTTTTTTTTAATATAAGATCTCAAAAGAAAAACTGCCTTTGGGATAATGTCACACAATTTTATTTGTCTTTGGGATAGCCTTGATTTTAGAAACTGTTTAGTTGACCTGTTTGGATTATCAAAGGTACATTCTCCTTTCACATCTGTTTATTTTACTTTGTTTTTAGAATCTTAGTACAAGTGAAGGTGTCAGTAAAGAAATGCATCACCTACAGCGCATGTTCTTACAGAATTGTTGGGAAATTCCTACATATGGAGCAGCTTTTTTCATTGGACAGATATTTACAAAGGCAAGCCCCAGTAATCATAAAGTCATCCCTGTGTATGTAGGTGTGAATATAAAAGGACTTCATCTTCTCAATATGGAAACTAAGGTAGATTTTCATCTTTTCAGCTGTTTTTGACCAGTCACATTATGTAATATCTAAAATAACAGTACTAGCCTACATGAACAATTTCATTCATTTATAATAGCAAAGGATAGGGGGGTGAAAACGAAATGATTATCAATAGGGAGTTAACATATTAATTGTAACATTGAAATACCTTGCAGCCATATAAAAGAATGAAGAATATTTTTCTGTGGAATGATCTCTAAGATATATTTGGTGCTGAACCATATGTAATATGCTACCATTCATGTAAAAATGGGTGGAAATGGGTATTTATCCGAAGAAAACAGAAACACTAACACAAAAAGATACATGCACATCCCTGTTCATTGAAACATTATTTACAATGGCCAAGATAAACAACCTAAGTGTCCATCAGTGGATGAATGGCTAAAGAAAATGTGTAAATATATACAATGGAATATTAATCAGCCATTAAAAAGAATGAAGTCTTTCATTTGCAACAATATGGATGGACCTTGAGGGCATTATGCCTAGTGAAATAAGTCAGACAAAGATAAATACTATATGATTTCACTATTTATATGTGGAATCTTTTTTAAAAAAAACAAGCTCATAGATACAAATTTTGAACAGACTGGTGGTTGCCAAAGGCAGGGAGTTGGGAGATGGGCAAAATGGGTAAAAGGGGTCAAAAGGTACAAACTTCCAGCTGTAAAATAAATAAGTCATGGGGATGTAGTATAGAGCATGGTGACCATAGTTAATAATACTGTATTGCATATTTGAAAGTTGCTAAGGGAATAGATCTTAAAATTCCTCATCACAAGAAAAAGAAAGTTGTAACTATGTATGGTGATGGATGTTAACGATACTTATTGTGGTGATCATTTTGCAATATATATAAATATTGAATCATTATGTTGTATACCTGAAACTAATATAATGTTATATGTCAATTATACCTCAAAAAATGGGGGGAAGTGAATACTATATTTGCATAAGTATTGCTTTTGTATGCATAAAATGTCTCTTAAGGCCTTTAGAGGGGGGGAACCATGTAACTGGGAATAAGAGTAGAAGGGAGACTTTTCATTATATAGCATTTTGCAACTTAAAAAAATTTTTTTTAACTGTGAATGTATTACCTATTCTAAAAATTAGATTTAAATGAAAAAAATACAGATTTAAAAAAGGAAATATAATATCTGACACAAGTGGTTCATTTTGCAAATTAGAATAAGTTATAAGAACATTGTGGGGGGCAAGATGAAGTGTGGATGGGACTGTGAATACCTGTTAGAACTGTTCAGAGGTTTTCTATTCCACCATCTTTTTTTTTTGTTTGTTTGCGGTACGCGGGCCTCTCACTGTTGTGGCCTCTCCCGCTGCGGAGCACAGGCATGTGGGATCTTCCCAGACCGGGGCACGAACCCGCGTCCCCTGCATCGTCAGGTGGACTCTCAACCACTGCACCACCAGGGAAGCCCCACTATTCCACCATCTTGATCTGGCCGCCCCTACTTTAGAGCTTTTCAATCAGAGGCTTATTACTGTATTGTGCCCCTTTTTCTAATCAAAGTCATGATAATATAAATATGGGGTTATCAATTACTTTTAGCATATTTAACACATTTCACAGGATAAACAGCTTTCTAGTTAGTAATAGGAAGCAGATAAAAATCTATTTTGTTCATTCAGATATGTCACGAATAGACTATTTTCCAAATCAGCTTAAGTAACTGAGCTTACGCATTTTTAAAAGGCGTTTTAGATTAGGGAATTTCATCATAAACCTAACTTTTTTCATCATTTTTGTAAGTCTTTATTATGTAATCACATACCTTCTGAAAGTATCCCAATTGTAGTTTAGTTATTTCCTGATAACTCAGGATCATCATTATGGGCAACAGTTATTTTCCCATACTGTTAGAAATGCCTGTGAATGGAGATAAAGAATATGCAGGGACATAGGGCAGTGACTGACTTGGAACTTGATTTTTTGAAGTCTCTGATATCTGCTTGCTTTGGAGTCATTTGCTTATCATTTTCTATTTAGACTATTTTACTCATACAAAATAAGCTGCTTCTTATTAGCTTGTAACTACTTTTTCTTTTCCTGTTGTACTAAAGAAATGAAGGAGAAATTCCCCTTGTCATTTCAAGAAATTTTTCCTCTGCTATTTCAGAGCATTTTATACAAATATCTGCAAATTCTTCTTCATCGAACTGGATGGTGATACTGTGGGCATAACACTGAGCCTTTTCTCTAAACTATATTTTATGTTTGACTTTTGGGAGCATTCCAAATTTAGGCAACAATGAAAAGTTTTATATAGTATTCAAATGATGTTTCAGTAATATAACATTTCATATTATGAATAATATTCTGGTCCAGGAATTGAGTAAGTGAGATAGCAGTAGCAGGCAGAGGATGATAGTGTTATTAAGAATCTGCTTTTTCTAGAAATATAAATAGAAATGCTGTCATTGGGCATATAAAAAGGTGATCGAAACCAAGGGTAACAATGTTTACTGTCCACATAATCATTACCTTGTGTTCTGTAAGCTACTGATAAATTTATGGCACCTATAAAAGCTCTAAGATAATTAAATTTTCAAACGATCTAAGATAGGAACAATCAGCTTGTCCTCAGTTGTCTTAGATTGACCAAATCTGCTAGGGTTGAATATGACAAGCTTGCTTAAATTAACATCTTCATCTGCAAAAATACTTTCATTTGCATTTAAAAGTCTACATATGGGATACATTAGCCTCAGAGATTAAATCTCAGGAAAAGCCATAGAATACAGCTGTGTTGTTTTTTTTAATCTCAATTACTTCTGCCTTCTATATTTTGTTATTGTTTGGAATAATAAAAGTTGCCCCTCAGAAAATACAGCTCAGCCAGTTTCATATACTCATCAGAGACCTATCTTTCTACTTACATAAAATGTAGGCACTATCGAATAGGTAAATGCAGTGTTACAGTTCAATGTTTTACTATAGTGAAAGCATTACAGTCTTCATAACTGAACTGTACTTGTTGATATATCTTCAGCCTTAATACCACTGCTACATCCAGGCAATAGATTACCCTTTGCTGATGTCAATTTATGTAGACCATAATGCCCTTCTGAAATAAAACTGGTTCTTTAAATACCCATATAGTGCCATTGTTCATGGTCACTTGTCAACATCACTATTTCTCCTGTGTGTCCTGGTTGGCTATGTCTACTTCTGACTTACATGGTTTCCCTTTTCTGCTCTCAACTATCCCTGTCATTTCTCTTACTTTTTGACTTCCTTCACTAAGCACCTTCCCCTTTGTAGGTTTTACCTCCTAATGAGAGCTACTTTTTCCTTCTAGAGCAGACTGGTCTCTCAAAACAGCCATGTGGGCTCTTCATCTCCATTCAACCGTTTTCATTATTGTGGATTTCTCAAGAATTCCTTTCTCCCTGCACACTGTCCTTTAAAAACAAAACCTTTATTTTTAACTTATGGCTTCAGTGCTTTTGTTGGTCATTTGACCTTCATGTAATCGAGGAGTTGCTATACCACAGATGTATTTTTTTTTGTATATTAAACTGTTTTGAGGACATATTAAATGGACAGTTTCCTGTCTCTTGATTAAAGAAGTTTCAAGTCACTGATCCAAAAGATAGACAGTTTAAAGTTTTATGATATCTTGACTCAGTGTTTCATTGTGTACTTTGGTAAATAGCTATTTTAGTAGATCCTGTCTATAAGTTATATTTTATAAGTATAGCTATTTTAAAGCAAGATGTTATTATTTTCCCATTATAAGTGGTATACACTCATGTAAATTAATTATATTACATTTCACTTACAGAACCTTTCAGAATGCCCTAAACCATTACCTTTCTGGCATATCCTTAGTTTATTATTTACAATCATTATGTTAAGAACTGCTAGTCATAGAGAGGTAATGTTTCTCAACATACTTATTTTTAAAGGATGGCATGAACACTTTCTTTGTATATGTGTATACAAAGAATATATTTTTAGGGTAAGAAAATGTAAGTTACTACTAGGAGATAATTGTTTTTTAAATAATCCAAAGAATATATTGGATTCCTATTTAAATATACCATTATGTTACAACATGTAGGAATAGGGTACTGTAATTGGTTTTAAATAGTTCTGTTGAATATATGAAGGATATATTATTGATTTTTTAAATAATGCTTATATTTACAATAAATATATCAGCGTACTTATTTTCAGTGATATGAAATTGCCTAAATTGACATGTTACCCTATTACATAAATTTCAGATCTGAAAGTACTATATGAATATTCAAAAGGTACTGAATATATCAATAGTAAAAGGAATTGTTTTTAAGATGCAGAAAGTAAAAACTTGCAGTACACTTAATTTTCTTGAAAGCCACTGATAGAATGGGCATCTTTTTTTTTTTCCCCCATCATTGGGTAAGTTTAAGGTGTACAATATGTTGATTTGATACACTTATCTGTTTTAAAATGGTTACCACAATAGCATTAGCCGACACCTCTATCACACTGCATAATTACAGTTTCTTTTTTCTGGTGAGAACATTTAAGATCTACTCTCTTAGCAACTTTCAAGCATATAGTACAGTACTGCTAACTATAATCATCATGCCCCACATTAGATCCCCAGAACTTATAACTGAAAGTTTGTACTACTTTGACCAACATCTTAATTTCCACCACCCACCAGCCCCTGGTAACCACCATTCTACTTCCTGTTTCTGTGAGTTTGGCTTTTTTAGATTCCACATATAAGTGGTATCCTATGGTATTTGTCTTTCTTTGGCTTATTTCACTTAGCATAATGCCCTCCAGTTCCATCCATGCTGTTGCAAATGATAGGATTTCCTTATTTCTCATGGCTGAATAATACTTCTTTCTGTGTACACATATACAAATACATAGCACAGAATGGGCATCTTTAAATAATTTTGTTGGGCTTCCCTGGTGGCGCGGTGGTTGAGAGCCCGCCTGCCGATGCAGGGGACACTGGTTCGTGCCCCGGTCCGGGAAGATCTCACATGCCGCGGAGCGGCTGGGCCCGTGAGCCATGGCTGCTGAGCCTGCGGGTCTGGAGCCTGTGCTCCGCAACGGGAGAGGCCACAACAGTGAGAGGCCCGCGTACCGCAAAAAAAAAAAAAAAAATTTGTCATTCTGATAAGAAGAATATCATTGTTCAAGGCAGTCTTCTAAGAGTCTACCATATATGTGGCTCTGTACTGCAGGCTGTGTGAAGTTAGTGTGGGCACTTTGAACAAGTTTTATTCTAACTGTCAAAACCACTGTGTTTAGACCTGTCTAGATAGGTGTAGATAGTAAGAGAAGATGGGTGTTGTTTTTAATAAATATTTCAATATAATGATTTCTAATTATGTTGCAGGCTTTACTCATCAGTCTTAAGTATGGTTGTTTTATGTGGCAGTTGGGAGATGCTGATACATGTTTTCAGATCCATAGTATGGAATATAAAATGAGCTTTATAGTACATACAAAACAGGTAAGTACCTAATCAGTTATTCTGGACTTCTAGTAATAAACTCTACTGTATTAATAAAGTTATTTCTTTTTTTAAAAATGACAGTCCATTTTACTTTAAGGAAAACCTCTAACATGAAGTTAACATATTTAAGACCAAGGTAAAAAGGCAGGCCTTTCCTAAGCAAAGCCAGAAACTTATCTGAATAATTTATTGTAGTCTTATAACAATGAAAAGTTCCTTTTCAAATACATAGAGAACTGTCTGTCCACTGCCATGTATGTCATTTACACATTCTTACATGTTTCAAATTTATTGTCAACGTATTTTACTTTGTAGGCTGGCCTTGTGGTAAAACTACTAATGAAGCTAAATGGACAGTTAATGCCCACCGAAAGAAATTCATGAGAGGAAAGCAACTGATACTTAAGCCACCACATTTTGTGATATAGATTTTTTCCATGAAAGATTTCTTAAACTATTACTTTTAACAAGGCATTTAGTCTCTTGTAATATATATGTATACTATTACATTGTACAGAATCTGTACTTATGTTTGGTGTGTAATATACCAATTAGTTTTATATAATATCCTAATAAGGTAATCTAATTTTTAGGAGAAACACACAAAAATGTGTAGATTGATAGTCTGTATAATATTAGACAAAACAGTAAGCTTTATAAAAAGTTATTTTTGGTAAATGGTACAGAATTTAGAGTGGAATATGATGAAATTAAAATATAGCTTTGCTATGACTTTGTGTGTCATTTCAAAATGTACAGAAAGTCACATGATTTGAATAAAGAAAATGTGTTTTCTACTTAAAGCATATGTAACACTGTTACTTAAATTTTTTTTTTTGTAATCTCTGAACATTTCTCAACATGTTTTTAAAAGACTTAGTTAAAAATGTTTATTTGGTATAAGCTAGTATTTCTCAAAGTATTATAGTTCTTGAACCCCCTGCATCATAATTACCTGAGTGCCTCTTAACAACAAGGATTTCAGGGACAAGTTCTAGACAAGTTCATTCACTCTTGGAAATAGCAGGGCCTGGGAATTTTTTCTTAAGTTTTACTTAATTTTCTGTTGAAATAATTCCAGACCTAATGATGAAGCTGTATTATTAAAGTTAAGTAAATTACACAGAACTGCCTGGCACATAAGCACACATACATGGACACATAGACTAAGTGACAATCTCTGAATATTACTAGTTGCATTTGTTAAGAACATGTTGTATTTTTATGAGTTGGCTCAATGATGTATTTATATTGCCTTTATATTGTAGGAAGTAGATCACCAAATATCTGGTTGTTTTATTTAGGGGAGCAAAAATATCATATTAGGAGCTAACTTGATTAATCTGCTATTTAATAAGCTTAGAAATTAGTCTTTCCAAGCTAACAGGTTGTTGTGTTCTAAGTAAGTTCAGAGATAACAGTAGTAATACTTAAAATTATCATACAGGTTGCAGATAATTTTTTTATATTATCATCTACTCTTCACGTTGACATCTGCATATTTAAAGGTCTGCTGAGCTTTATTAAAATTAAGGGGACTTCCCTGGTGGTCTAGTGGTTAAGACTCCATGCTTGCAATGCAGGGGGCCCGGGTTTGATCCCTGGTCAGGGAACTAGATCCCGCATGCAGCAACTAAAAAGATCCTGCACGCGGTAACGAAGATCCCACATGCTGCAGCTAAGATGCAGTGCAGCCAAATAAATATAAATATTAAAAAATAAAATAAATAAAATAAAGATTATGTGGTTAAGTAAGTTTAATGAGAAAGCCTGATTTATCTTTAATTCTGTGCTAAGCACTTTTGACTCTACATAGACAGTTCTCTGTTCAGTTTCATCCATTCCAATAGCCTCAATTGTTACCAAATACCCTGTTGACTCCCAAACCTAAAACTTCAGCCTTAACCTCTCTTCTGAATTCTAGATCTTAATTTCCAATTTCTTGGTATTCTAGCTCCACCTAAATGGTTTACACAAGGAACGTCTGTTTCATCATAGCTGGAAACAGAATTTGTTTCATCTACCTGCTCCATTCTATCCTTACACTTATATTCTCTGGTTAATGGCATCAAACTGCATCCAGTTGCTTACCCTGGAAATCTGGGAGTGGTCTATAACTTCTCCCTCTTTAATCACCCTACACATTCCACTTAGTGAATTCTGTCAAATGTCTTGTGAGTCCTTTCCTATTCCCTTCTTCTGTGTTTGCACTGCAGTCACCCTAGTTCAAGTCCTCGCAGTCTATTCTTGGGCTCATTGTAGCTTCTTCCCCTGGCCTCCCCAACTCAGGCTCTAAACCCTGCCACACTGGTGCCAAGTTAACCTTTCTCATAGATCTGATTATTTCATTACCCTCTTAAAACCCTCCTCACTGATGTAAAGTTAAATTCCAATTCCTAAGTGTTGAATACACTAACCTGCCTATCTAGATTAATTTCTAACCAATTCTCCCACACTCATCCTGTGCTCCCACCCCAGTGTTTCCCAACACTAGCTCTGCAGTTACCTGGGGAGTTTTGGTACTTTATGACTCAATAACTTTCGGGTGGGGCCCAAGCACTTCTGTTGTGAAAGTATCCCAGGTGTTTTTGATTTATAGCTTAGGGTTTAGAACTGCTGTTGTAATTAACTTTAGGAAATAGCTGAATGCTTTTCCTTTCACAGAGGGAAGTGAGGATGCATCAGTGCTGCATCAAACAACTCCCTGCTCCATTGAGTATAGTGTACCCTGCCAGAGTTGTACAGTATGGCTGCCCTGAGAGAAGGGAAGAGGAAATTATTGGAGTAGCATGGCTATTAAAAGCTTAAAAACATATAGCATTAAGAAGTCAATTTCAAAGTTAGTATTGAAAAAAAATTCATCATTGTCAGACCATAACAAACCAGAAATAAACAATAAGGGGAAAATGCAAATAGCTTTTAATGAGTGCCTAGGATTGGTCAGGCACTATATGAGCACTGGGGATAAAAGATATTATTTTCCTTTTCATCATTCTTTCAATAAATTTGAGTGCCTTTTATGTGCCAGGGATCCAGTGGTAAGAAAAAGTCCCTGCCTTCAGGGATCAGAGTTTAGTGAGGGAGATAATAAGTACTCATATTTATGAAGTGTGATGAGGGACTTCCCTGGTGGCACAGTGGTTAAGAATCCGCCTGTCAGTGCAGTGGACACGGGTTCGAGCCCTGGTCTGGGAAGATCCCACATGCCGCGGAGCAACTAAGCCTGTGTGCCACAACTACTGAGCCTGTGCGCCACAGCTACCGCTCGCATGCCTAGAGCCTGTGCTCCCCAACGAGAAGCCACCGCAATGAGAAGCCCACGCACCGCAACAAAGAGTAGCCCCCACTCTCCGCAACTAGAGAAAGCCTGCGTGCAGCAATGAAGACCCAACGCAGCCAAAAAATTAATTTTTAAAAAATGTTTTAAAAATCTTCACCCATAAACTGTGATGAAAGAAAAATAAAATGTACTATCTAAGCAAAAAGAGGGAAACTTGATCTAGTCTTAGAGATCAGGAGAGGCTTCCTCAAGCCAGTGCTGCTTGAGCTGGCATCTGAGGAGTAAGCAGGAATGAATGATGTGAAGAGAGTTGAGGGGAAAGGAAATGAGGTGAGATATTTTGACCTCAAGGATGGTCTTGGAGAATTGATGAGAGGAATTACAATTTTTAGCTAAGAAGTGAATTCAAACAGTTGTTTATCCAAATCACAGCAAATGAATTTCCACTGTAGAAATAAAACCAGAATGGGTAACCCTGTGCATGATAACTGCATTGTAAAGAGGAAAACTTACTGAAGAACTACATCTTGTAAGATTAAAAATTGCAAAATTTGACTCTAGAAAAATTAGACTTGATAGAAATATATAATGAAGTAAAACTGCCCATAGTTCTTGACCAAATTTAATAGAAGAATTGCATAAATAAAATATAGATTTTAATTTGATCCTGAGGAACTCAGTGGCAAAAACTGTAATTGGAAGAATTTGATATGTGCAAAAAACTGATTTATTAATCAATTCCTTTAAAATTTACAGAGAAAAAAACAATGAAATTATTTCTTACTGAAATAATTTCAGTCAGATGAAAATGGGAAAAATTTAAATTGTTTTTGCTGTACTGTGTGTATAGGAAACTGATCATGAAATTAAACTGGTTTGAGTACATGCAAAAAATATTTCCTCAACAAAAATCCATCTGTGATGGTATGATTCCCATTTAACATTTGTATTCGTAAAGCCAGAATGCCTCCATGGTCATATCTGGTATTTGAAGAGGCAGGGATAGGCAGACTGAAAAGGCCCTAAAGCAAAAGAGGGGTAAACCCTGGGGGTTCTTAGAAACCAAAGTGCTTCAGGCAAAGAAATATATTTTAGACATCTTAGGGTGTAGATGAGAAAAGCAATTTCAGTACATTGTGCCAATTTCTATTATAAGAGGAAGTGCTGGTTGTTCAGAATTCATTTGAAGGGCACCAAGGATAAACAGGAAATACTTCCCCATTAGTTAAATAATAATAATAACTAATACTTTAAAATGGTGCATACTATATGGCTGGCATTGTCTGAAGCACTTTTAGATATATTAATTCATATATATCTATATATAGAGATATATATATGTTTAATCCTCATAACAATAACTTTGAGGCAGTTACTATAATTCCCATGTAACAGATGAAGAAACAGATCATAGAATGAACATAGAAAACATTTGCTTTCTATCTTTTAAAAAGCTTAGGAGCCAAACTTCCTAACACAGTAATGTAAATGTTTTCATTTTCTTATGTTGTATAACCTGAGTACAACTTTATATGTAGAGGTTATGTTACTTGTCTAAGATCAAAAACCAGTAAGTGGTAATCAGAATTCAAAATCTGGCAATCTGTCTTCTGAATTTAGATATTAGTCAGGTAAAGGAGAGGTAGCTGAGAGGTTTATCCAAAAAAAAAAAAAAGATCAAATCTTGAAGGATGTTGTCCTCCCTGCTAATGAGCCATTGGAGCATTTAGGACTTGACTAGTTCAGATTTGTGTGTTGAAAGATCACCCTAGGTCACTGTACAGAAGGGCTCAAAGGGGTCTGAGCAAGAAGATATAAAACAATGGGAAGAAATGGATCAATGTTTTGACAAAACCAGTGACCTTTTGGATATGAGGAATTAGGAAGAGACAGGAATCACAAATAATTTCCCTCTTTCTGTCCTGGGCAACTGGAAAAATGGTACCACCATATATGCTCAACATAGGGAAGGGAGGAGGAGGGTTTGAAGAAATGTATTGAAATCCTGGTGCCTAAGGGATATGCAGGTGGAGATGCCCCTGGCCTGAAGCTCAGAAGGCTCTGCTTGAGTGGCAGTTGAAACTACAGGAACATATTTAAAGTCACCCAGGAAGAGAGTAGAGAGAAGCAAGCCAAAGAATGCCATTTGAGAAATGGGCAAAGGTAGGGCAACACACAAAGCATCTTGTTAGGTACATGGATATCAGTATGGAAAAGAAACAGCTTGGCACCATTCTGCATACTGTATATTAATAAATTTCATATGGGCAGAAATAAGTATTAACAGAATCTTTAGGGGACTTCCCTGGTGGTGCAGAAGATTCTTAACCACTGCAGGGGACACGGGTTCGAGCCCTGGTCCGGGAAGATACCACGTGCCGCAGAGCAACTAAGCCCGTGCGCCACAACTACTGAAGCCCACATGCCTAGAGCCCATGCTCTGCAACAAGAGAAGCCACCGCAGTATGAAGTCTGTGCGTTAGAGTGATGACTTATGGGTTTGTGTTGGATAGTAGGGGCAGGGCTGGAGGGAGGTTGGGAACCACATCACTAAGGCCAGGAGTTTAAAGAAAGCTTTTATGGCAAGTAAAACCTAAAGGCTGAGATAAGAAAGAATATTTATACCAATATGATTCATAATGGACCCAAACTAGAAATATCTAAATGTCCATCAACAGTACAATCATGAGTGTGCTACATGATTTCATTTATATAAAGTTCAAAAATCAGCCAAACAAGTTGATGGGGATAAATATGAGTATAGTAGTTACCTTGTGAGGGGAGTGACGGGGACAAGGTACAAAAAGGGTACTGGAATATTCTATTTCTTTTTTTTTAATTGGGGTATGGTTGATTTACAGGGTTGTGTTGGTTTCACGTGTACGGCAAAGTGATTCAGTTATATATATGTATATTCTTTTTCAGATTCTTTTCCCTTATAAGTTATTACAAGATATTGAATATAGTTCCCTGTACTATACAGAAGGTGCTTGTTGGTTACCTATTTTATATTTTATGTGTTAATCCCAGGCTCATAATTTATCCCTCCCCTCCTTTCTCCTTTGGTAACCATAAGTTTGTTTTCTATGTCTGTGGGTCTATTTCTGTTTTGCATATAAGTTCATTTGTGTCATTTTTTTTAGATTCCACATATAAGCAATATCATGATTAAAAAAAAAAAAATGAAGCCCACGCACTGCAACGAAGAGTAGCCCCCGCTGGCGGCAACTAGAGAAAGCCCGCGCGCAGCAACAAAGACCCAACGCGGCCAAAAATAAATAAATTTTAAAAAAAAAAAGAATCTTTAGGGAATTCCCTGGCGGTCTAGG